AAGGCTGAGTTAGAGTGTTCCACATACCTTAGGATGGGTTGGTAGCTTTTAACTTAGGTTTAATATATTGTGTGGCCCGCAAGGCAGTTGCGCATGGGCCCACACAATTGCGTCTAACATTATTACACTCACTTCTGCATTTGCACACATAAGCACGCATCACTTCTACCTCTGCCCTTCTTATATCCTTTATGTTGCAGATCAGATTTCATAACATAAGGCGGCATTGTTACCACACTTCATTCAGAGAATGTCGCGATATCAATAAAGTGTTTCACCGAGTATACCGGAGGTAAAAATCAGGATGGACGATTATGGGGCTAAAGCTGCATCCGTGTTGCATTGGTTGAGTTATCTGGTAAAGCTTCGACCATGCTCTCACTACAACGTAAGAAACTTAACCTATCCTGTTACTGAGACGTTTATAATGTAAGGCATCATCAAACTCACGTCTAATGCGTTTCGAAAGCGATTACACCGCCATTGTTCTTGCCCATGTTCTGCTGAATTGCTGCGTGATGTTCATCACGCACAACGTGCCGATGCCTTTATGATTACACAAATCTGTATGAGACCCATCCAGCTCTTGAACATGGACATCTTGGTTGAAAGAAGACGTAAGAGACACTAAACGTTAGATCCGGGGAATAAAATGTATTAAGTGGTAAGGACATACGTACGCACGTGTGAAGCTCTTCGAAAGGTTGTTCTTCATCATATACTCGAGCATTTTCGATCGGGGCCCGGTGCTGGCATTTCATTGATGCGGATTTGTTCGTTTTTTATGACACATCCGATAAAACCTGCATTGGAACTTTTGCTTACAAACAGACAATATGGTGCTGTCAGCGGGGTCTTCACCGGTGAAAAAACAAACAAGTTGGTTCTCTGCGGAATCGTTCGTCTACATGAGATTGTTACGGAATTGGTCTCACATCGAGCTCCGCGCTTGTAAACCAAATTTTGGCGTATTTTGCTTAAATGCTTGGTTAAGGTTATATACGACTGATAATCTTACCATATATGGTATATGGCTTCCTTTAGCCATAGTGCTGATGTAACATGTTTCCGTTAATCGAATTTATACTGAAAAGCGCATTGAGTACCTCAGCACGCTTTACACCAGTTCCATAAATGGTAAAAGAAACGCATCCCCTGATGCCATCAAGAAGTAGCCCCGGTCTTGGCAGAGGAGGAGCAGGCCTGTACCACTTAACTTTTCTATATCAGCACGGCTATTCTGTATTATATCGAGCCAAACGTGACCTTATAGGTAAGTGGGCGATGGCTGAGATCCAATAAATGCAAATTAATCACGCAGATGCCAAGGACAGATGAGAGAATTGGAAGGATAAATATCATTTGCAGTGTCTGAGTCAGTAATTAGCGAATTCAAATTCACTACTTCACAATCCATGTATTGTAGCTTGTAAAGGCTGAACTTCAACTGTTGATATCCATAAATGTGCGTAGATCTATACTGTCTTATATGGCTTTGGCTTACTTGAGTCGCCTCGCGCTTCTGCTCGAGGACACAGCGTGATGTAAGCGACGAAGTAGCGTTTAGTAGACCCTCGTGTCCTAATTGATGAATAAGTGGTTGACCTGCGGCCTTATTACAGTACCCCAAAAAAGCTTTTTGCCTACGCTTTGTGCGGCCTTCAATTCAGGTTTTATGCTCCGACTAAATTGTCGTATGCTGCTTGAATTATAAAGCGGCGGGCATTAACCTTATATCTCCGCGCATACTGAAACAATCTTAATCATACCCATAATCCATCGATTTAGCTACTATTTAGATCTCAAACTTGGAAAAAAACCAGGCCTAACTTGCTGGTAAGATCCGCACAAATATACGAGAAGAATGCGGTATAAAAGTGTCAAGTCGATGGCATCAACGTTCTCAAAGGACACCAACTGCGGTGGCGCGAGAAGCTGCCGGAGTGAGGGCTGCCATGTACATTGTCAGAAACTGGTTCTGACCCTGGGTATAATCCAATCCACGAGTCATTTTAAGAGAAAGTAGGTTTTGCCTTGATCATCGAGCATTACCGACAAAATGGGCTATTGGGTGGCTCGACTCAACACGATTGCAAAACTGAAAAAGTTAGCTGAGTCTTTCTGTGGAAGTTAACGTGCGCTAGCTCAGGACGTCGGTGATCTGTCGAGCGCACTATCAAAGGTGCAACATCCTGTTAAATAAACTAATTTAATTCAAGTGACTCAAGACCGGATCGCTTCTCTGAAGGAGAAGACATTAGTGCTGCTGATCCAGCCGAAATAGGATGTTAATACATATGAGGCCAGGACCCCTGACGTGGCAATTTTGGTGTACGAATTTTGCTATGAATATTACTACGTTGTTGCTGACAGACAAGCCGGTCTCTTTGAGCACGGTCTAGCTGATTTGAGCAGCGCCCTAACGGAAGAGCTTACCATAATCTTCTCTTAGAACTAGCACCGTGTGCGCAGCTCATGCAAAGATGAGCTTGAACATTGTTAGCGCTCAAGTCTCGAAGATGTGTTGTCAAAAAAGGATGGTGACGCCGTGTAATTTTTGCAAATTGGACGTGGCAAGATGAATATAAACGGCTAACTTGACACAACTTGGCCTGAGAAGGTCAAACCTTACTCATCAAATAATGTATTCATAACGTTGGGAGTAACTACCATGTGCTTTTGCCAGCCCCGCATGAGGCTGGCTGAGGTCAACAATATATCAAATCTGAAGAGTGTCGATAGAAATAGAGCACCGCAGAGGTAGTTTTGCCAAGTGCCTCGGGACAAAACTTTTTTCGAACGAGGGTGGTCTGCAAGAACAAAAGACTCTTGTCTAAGGTTTCAGGTATCTAACCCATATCACAATTATCATTCAGACTTATAGCGTCATGTAGTGGAGACAATGATGGAGTACCGCAATCAAATACTGTAGCAGTGGAAAAGCGATGGTGCACAAACATTTTCCATGATTGACCTCTTACGATCGTGTGAGTTTCATAACTTGCAATAGCTGTGGTGACATGAAGAATTGTGCAGAACCTTAACATCTTGCATTACCAGTCGATCCATTGATAGTGTCGTTTCAAACCCATCAAACTTTAATTAAGGTCGTATATTAAATACAGTATAAGGCCAAACAACATAGTGGGATATTTTTGCCTTCATGACCTTTTAACTTTTTTCTGATGCACATGCTTTACCAAGCGTATTAAATCTCATAATGTCTGTTGACATCACATATCATAGCACGTAGAAGACATCAGCCACAGTTCTGGGCTACAAGCCCCACCTCTCTGGTGTATCTTGGGACTGAATCACGTTTTTGCTGGCTCTGAGGCGTACAAATCAATTCAGTTATTTTTTAGAAGGCCCCGGCACCTAACATGGCTTAACATTTCCCCTTTGAAAGTCCGGTGATAGTCTTTGCGTGAAAAATCAATCTACTGACATGAAAAAAGATTGGGCTTTGACTTTTCGTTCTTCCTCACGTAAAATATCTGTAAATACAACGATTATGCTCAGCAGCCAAGCCTTCACTCTTCTCATATTCAAACTGGCTGAGGACTAAACTCTAAATTTTCATGCTCAAAGCACTTTCACCTTCCGCATCTAGCCGTCTATAACGAATCTAATGTTGGGTCTATACACAAATATCATGTTATGTTGCGCCATTCATACTTCTATAAAAGTTATTTAGTGTACATGGAGGTCTAGATGCGAGCTGCACCTATATGTTGATGACAGTAACTATTATCAATAGCAGGACAGGGCCAACGGACATTTCTAATTCGTTTCTGCTCTTGGGCATAGCGCGGCATATAGTATCCTCTGCAGGGTATAAAATACCTTTGAACGCACATATCAAGCCGTATTTGGAGGTGAAAAATTGCGACATTTTTTGCTTAGATACTGAACATTTTGGACATGCGTCGTGCATAACAGAGCCCATTTTTGCGCGCTACTTTCTAGATTGGAAATCGCTAACGTAACGTAGCCCACCACTGGAAAGCTCGGGATAAAGTCAAGCTTATGGCCTCGACATCTATAGAAAAAGGTTTTCTTAATTCTCTCTTTTGATGACTGAGCACCAATCACACAAATATCTTTCATAAACCGTATCCAGATATCTTAAGGTAGATGGTCTTGGGCGCGAAATGAAGCGGCGGCTTTGTTGACTCGTGACGAATGCCTCATTTTGATTCCAAGATTTTTCTTTCGAGCTCAAGTCGCCGTTCACGTGTCTGCCAATGGCGCTTTCTGCCTTTGTTCAATATGTTGCGCCCTGTTACAATCTGATGTCATGAAGATGACAGCATTATTGCCCTGCTTTCGCCGTTGTTGAGCTATTATAAAGTATTACATTGTCAACGACAAAGCTTTATTTGTTCTGAAGTATGGTCATGTCAAATTTGCTGTGCACCTGCTCGATTATAAGTGATCCTGTTTCTATATCGAGCTTACGCAATTACTAATAACATATTTGTCGCTTCATCTCTTCCACAGAAAGTTCCGGAGCGATAGCATGTCCTTATCAATTTTGTTTCTAAGTACAGTCAGAGCTCAATGGTAGCGGATGCTCATCTGTGTCACCAAATTACCAGTTATATCGTGTCAGAATGGTGACGTCACGCATTAACAATTAGACTATCACTGCGTACATGACAGCAATGATTTGAGAGGGAGAAGCTGTTTCATCTTAGAAACTGATAAATGAAGTGTTGCAATCGCGCATACACTGTATGTCTCTGCCTCAAGCTTGCTGTGGATCTACTTGAGACATAACGTGTACTTCGAGCGAAAGAAATCGTATGGAGCGCATAAAATCCGTCCAGCAAGGCATCGCTTTACGCGTTTTACAACTGGATCGATCAGATTGATGCATTTTAAGCAACTCAAATCGATTATTCGTTGTAAAAGGCATAACCACTGCTGATTCTGTATAGATAGACACCCTCGAGAATTTGAACATGTGGGTCAAAAAATGCTCAGCCAGCGCATCTTGCGAGCGCATTATTCTCCTAGACTAAGTTCAAATTTCAAAAGTAAGAAACGACATGACGTGCAGCTTTTGTTGATTCGAATCAAACACGAAGTAATTATGACGTGAATCTAGCAATTCCAATCTTACCAAAGTCGCTGAGACTATGTGCGTGCAGGCAAGCATTATGAGCTCGTTGAGCTAGCATGAGTAATGACTTTTCAAGCATATCACCGGAGATAAGTGCCAGCTATGCTAATATTATCGAGCCTGAGAGAGGTTTAACGTTTAGAGGCTGCGTTTTGACTGTTCGAGAAAGTATCTAGGTGGAAAATTCCAGCAGCGTTCACCTCATAACGGGAAATGGAACACACGATGTTGTGGCTATCCAGCTCAGGGTACTCCTGCTTTGCTCATTGTATGAAAATTTACATTTACCGTCATCACGCTTGAAGAGAAATGTAAAGATTTTTTTGTCTAGGGGGGCATTTGCTCTAGATAAGTGCTCCGCATGTGCTTATTCGTGTTGCCAAAAATAATGACGTTCTTGAAATCAAAATGATAACGTCGCGCACTGATGATTCTTAAATTATGGCATACGGGTCAGACTGATTTGTGCTGGATTTTGAAATTTTCTAAAAAGAAGAGTTTCTGTCGAATTGACGGAACGTTTGTATGCACGTTTACACCAATGTTTTTTGCCTTATCGTCTGCTGTAGATCCCCTATCTTGTGGTTCAAATACAAAATTTGTATGAGGCGCATGATACTCTACTAGGAGAACACCTTGGTAAGAAAAAGTCAAAAGGCTCGGTCGATGCAAGGTACATTTTGCCTTTTCGTAATGGGGCAATTCTAGCCATCACATGAAGGTGGATATTTGTGAGACACATCACCTTTGAGGTACATTCTGGTGACAAATAGCACGAAGTACATGGTACACTGGTGATGAGACCGACCTGTCTTTACCGTTTGAGTTACCGACCGATCGCTTCGCGGGGGCAATTTTTGAAGACTTCATGCTCAAGTTTCTCAAGGGTTCCCCCGAGTTTAACCTAAATGTACCCAAGGTGCATATACTAGATCCAAAGGTTTTACTTCTGCACGTGTAGGTCTTTTGTATTTAAACACTAGGAGCACTAGTAGTGTTACTCATATAGCTTTAGAAGCCATAACCTCTTTTATTGCATTACGAATGTTACCGCATTCTTAATCTGTTTTTTTCTCAAACACGAATATGTGCATATCTGGAAATGTATCCGATAGCCTCTTCCATCTGGTGGCACTTCGTAGCCCTTCCAACGACCAAGTCAAGAGTCTGTATTGACCGCTTGCGTAGTGTGCGCGGGCGATGTAAGACCACTGTCCGATTGTGAGAAACAATGGAAGGAATGGAGACGCCGCTGGCTTTAATGCTTGAAGACGAAGAACGCCTCGGCATTCTCACATGATTTTCTTACGTGCGACGGGTCGCGAAGTCCGCACTTGTTGTTTGGGGTTCCTTACGGTTATAAATCTGATGCACGAAGTAGAACTATTGGGACATGTATAGTCTGAAGAGACACAAGGTTTAGTGCAGAAAATACTGGCGAGCTCCAAGCGCCATGCTTGACTGTAAATTTATGGGATTGTAACATAAACGTTTTGGTACACTGAGGTTGCATCCATGTGGGCGTTTTGAAACTGGAACCTGGTATATAAAACTTTGATGGATTGGGAGATTGTTAAAAAGCATTTCCCTCATTCGATGCATCACGGGTGGACAATCCTTAGTAAGTGGCTGTGATCAGCGTTATCAAAAGCGCTTAGGAATACTGTTACGAGCTTCATATATTAGCGAAGCATGAGTTATCGACGAAAGCCCGCAGCTCCTATAACGTCAGCAAGGATTTCTTCAATAAATTTCGTATATCTCCGTATCTTAGCAGAGAGAAAAAACGCTGGCAAATTGAATCGTAGAGCTTGATGCAGCGATTGCTGCAAGTCAGCTTGTGAATCCAGTGCCGCAAATGTTATTATCAATATCTAACTTTGGGCATTTGCAATGCATTCAATCATCCTTTTAATGAGAGAAAGGCCCTAATGCAAATTATTGTTCGTTAGTGGTCACTGCTTGCCTGGAGGTTTGAAAAATGCGCTGGTGATCTATTTTTATAAGAACCTCTACTTGATAGAGATTCACCGATCTTGTAGAGTGAGACTGTAATTAAAGTGTCGCTTTTTTCGAGCGCAGCGAATTCGAAATATACATTTTCAAAAATGTAGGTTGAGGCGCCATGGACATGGAGAACGTTACCCATGACAATAAGCTATAATGTACATAACTGTTACAAATGAGTCACCCCAAGAAGGGTAGGAATACTCAGCAATCGTGTGGCATATGCCTTTGTCGCGGTTTATCAAACGCGACCGGTCAAAATTTTATCTGCATGTTGTAGGGATATAGCTTGTCGGGCTCCGACCATCTTTATAAGCGCACTCATAGCCAAATTTCCGCTGAGTTTTTCCGTAACTAGGAACTGTAACCAGATACAGCAGCAATTTTTGTCGAATATCGGGCATTGCCAAATTAAATGCTGAGGGTGAAGCATGATGTGGTCACCAAATTAAATTCATGGTTCCGAGTGGATAGCGTTATCTGTGGGTCAAGCCTCGAAACAATTATTGTGTACCTTAAGTGTATCACAAGCTATCAGATTGCGCTAGTGGGTTCGCTTCAAGAAGTGTTTAATGAGACGTCGTTAGAAGCACAAGCAGTTCTCACGGACATCTACAGTCTATAACTGCTTTCGTTTGAGTGTCAATTCGTTTTTGGTCAAAGGCGTAATTTTTTTTTCATTCTTTTTTAATATGAGAAAAGTTGCGATGGCTGAGAGCGTGTCGCGTTAGCAATCGCCAGGCAAAGGAAATCCGCAAAATAGGCTTCCCCCTGTAAACAAGCAATTTACATCGAGGGAATACTTCAACGACAAATGCTGTGAGGTATTGTACCGCCCAAAAAATACTTATTACGTGCTGTCAAGCTCTCGTACTTCTTACAAGAGGAGAGATGTTGCCATTGGAGTGGGAGGACCATATTCCGAGAGCGTTCCTTAGAAAAGGTTGCTCTTGATACTGACGATGCTCCTAGTAAACAAGCCGAGATAAACTGACGTTGCGTTGCTCATCGAACAAGACTCACAACTGACGGCTCGCATCTCGGAGGTCTACGATTAAACTGATTTTCATCCATTCCAAAGTTGGGAACTTATTCAGATGCTTCCCTGTTTTTAACTATATTTGTGGCTCATAAGAGCGATTTCATAATCTGGCTAAGGTTAGATTCATTAACACGAACCCTGTAAGACTACGACTCCAGAGATTTAATGTCGCTGGAGCCTATTTGGTCTAAGGAACTGCAGATTACATGCACAAGAAAAAATGCGTTCAACAAAAAATAAAAAACTTATTACCCACATCAAACTCAAAATTGATTCCGGACTTTGTCATATGCATGTTGCTGTCATACATTTTGTTCTAACCACGGTGTCGCACCTGTTGTAGAGACACCCGATCAAATTATTGCGTTTGCGATAAAGTGTAGTCAATGGCGTAGTCAGTGAAATTTGACCATCGGTCGTGAATTATCGGCTACGAACACGTCGACTAACATCTAAAGCAGAAATTGATTATATTTGGCTGTAATTTATAACCTCGATTCGAGACGCTAGTCTCCGTCAATGTGTATTTGCAAAATAAAAACAGTATCAAAAACTCGCCAACAACCTGGGCGCGGGCAGTAGCGGAGTAAATCATTTACTTGTTCGATCTACGGAGACCACGCCTCCAGTATTTTTTGAAGCGTCATCAAACCAATCGAATAAAGTCTATCTTTACTGATGAGCTACTGGTACACTACAGGAACCACCGGACCTGACAAAAGACACCAAAGCATGCGATGATAGTCTAACCATGTGACACGCTTTACATGCGTGTACATAGCTTCCACCGATTTGTCTATCTAATGAATTATACGTCTCTGGAGACTAGCATTCACACCTCACACAGAACTACGTAGCTGTGGGCTTTATCACGAGCTTTAAGTACACGTTGTGTGCTAAGCGGTCAAGATCTGGATCGGCGGACCGTAAGGCAAGATGAAGAATTGTCGATACATCGGCATGAAAAATGATGATTTGAGCGCCCACCAGGCGCCATCAAATTTATACAATTCGAGCTGAGCCAAAGTAACTGAAAACAATAAAGGATATTTTGTGTGATGCTGGATGGGACGTTGCGAGAGTATTAAAGCAATATAGTATCATAGTAGCCTTGTCCTGTCTGAATTAGCGGTAGAGCGATTCAAGGCACGATGGTGCGGTAACTACGCCACATGACGTGACGCACGCAAAATTACATGCAGACGGCGCTCCATTGCGCAGCTATGTCTACGGCAATACGACCTGGGTCATCATTTTTGATGCGAAAAAAGTGAGCGATGTCATTCTCAATTAGACACAACGGGAAGACGAGACCAAGTCATGTCCACTGGTCGAGGATAAGCGACCGTGGGTCAACCTACGTCGGTGCTCGTTTTAGAAAGAATACCTCGCATGAAGCTGTCATCTGAATGTCTACAAGCGTCAAAAGATGAAACACTTCTGGAGCTCAACCTCCGCGGTATGCAGATGCAACAGTGAAGTCAATGTCCGTGCATTCCGTTGACGCAGGTACGACGGCGATGACAGCCTGCGAACGGTGGAGATGATGGGTAATATCGCGATTGCTCTTGGGTCTGGTGTTGCGAGCGATTGGAGAGTCAATCCTGAAACGCGCTCGGAAATGCTTCTCACACGCACTAGCAAAAATTGTGATTAATGAGGGCTCATAATCCGAAATAATTGTTATCAAGAGGCTACGTGGCCACTACGCTTTTCCTTATGGCGAAATACCATTCAGCGTCCCGATAATGCCAGTAGAGACGAAGATTTGTATCCGGATTCACGATTTGTTTGGGGTCCAGTGCTAAACGCCACTTGAGAACTTTGGCGGTGACAAACATTCGCGGCGGATCCGTTCGTCGATATGCTGCTGACATTAATCTGTGCTTGTAGCGTTCAGCATCAACGTCGGGTAATCGTCAATTATTTACCCGCGCTAGCGAATAATGGTGCTTTACTAGGTATGTAGCACTTTGTTTTTCACAAGCACAGTGAGAGCACGGCGCTGAAAACTGAATAGCTCCACGCACGCAAGTTATTCCAATAGTATTCCTCAGCACGCGATTATCGCGTTCCGTCTGACTATCGTTCTGTTGATGCTTTGCGGTGGACGTGTCCGACCTACCAGTCATCTTAAGCAAACTAGCCAGTGGTTTGCTATAAATTACGGTTCTCGATTCAATGTCACGCGTAACATGATCTTCCTGAGTTGAGGGGATTACTGGCTATATTTCCGTCGGTGAAGGTGTTGCAAACAGCAGGAAACAAACTGCTTTCCGTAGATGGTTCACAAAGCAACAATGTCAATATTGCCAGACATGTCTCGTGGTAAAATCAGTTAAATTGCAGTCTGCCAGCTTCTACCATGATCTGGTTGGATTTATCGTCCATCATTGAATCTCTACGAACGGCCCCTGAAAGGGGTCAGTACTTGTAATATTATTTTTAAACACACCTGGCAGGATCGTAAAATCTATAGTTTGTACAAGGACCACATTACACTTGATGCAATTGTGATCTTCATAAGCGCCCAAGTATTGGTTCATGAATCAATAAAAAATCGAAAAGGGTCTTAGGCATCCGTGGGATACTAGCCGCACGTTAGAAAAAAAGTCAATATTCTTATCAGATACGAAAAACAAATATATGAAGTATCAATCTTTATTGTCTCAAGCCTGATTAAACATACTCTCAATATAGCAGTCAAAACAAGCAGGTTAGTCATATTGGAGGCTCGTAATTCCGCTCGTGCTGATAGCTAATCAAACAAATCTCTGTACACTTGACAACGCAAAACCAAGAAACAAACTTTTTTCGTGCGAGATGCATCGCAACCCCATTGCTCGCGGTATCATTTTAAAGTGAATCCCACTACCGAGTCGTCGACGGACTGTGTTCTCTTCGAGGATGGGACGTTAAGTGTTTGAGCACCTGTTCCTGAAACATACATATCAGCTTGCTATCTTTTGTCTATTTGATTTCGATGAGATCGGGAAATAGCCAAATGACTTGGAACGGTAATAGATATTTAAAAAACTCATCAATGCGCTGGTGAGCCACGCCCAGAAAAGCCTTTACCGGGAGCTGGTGAAACAGATGAATCTCACCGCGAAAGTACTAATGCTGAGCATCCGGCTCTTTAGAGCCAAAAAATCTCCTTCTGGATGAGGGATGCTGAGGGGCCTCGTTGCACACATAGGTCAGCCACATCGCGCTTGCTATCTCTACATTGTAAAGTGTGAGCCACATCCATTTGGAAACAATCCATGAAGACGGTAATCGCTGGGTCTGACGCCGTCGCGGCGATTTAATTTCCCAACCCCCGAATCTAGCCCCGCGGGTCTCGTTATCCTTGAGGGGAAGACAAGAAACTTCTGCGCTTCATACATCCGACTTTTTCAGCAAACTGTTGTCAATACAGAACATCTGATGTAGAGTATCGTTTCTGCTCGCGATGGTAGTCAGATGCGTTCTGGCGCTCAAGAGATCTCATTTTCAAATGCCGCACTGAAAATTATAGACTTGTAAGGATAAGGCCATAGTATTCAGCCAGCGCCATATGCTAGAGGGATCTTTGAGAGTGGACTGGCCAACTACTTGTGCATGAATCGTGGACATTATACCACTACAATACGGCTTCCCCACGGTTAAATTAAAAACGGAGCCAGAATGTGGTAAGGTGCGCCTCATATCTGTTTCAAGCTCTGCCATGAGCTGTTTACGTCGCCTCCAATGCTTCCGACTTTGCCACAGGCTATACTTGGCTTCAAGCGAACGTTTACGCGATAATGTGTTTGACCTCACCAGCCAGAGCTGCAAAGGAGAACCACTAATCTCGCGGTAAGGAATTTGCAGCAATAAATTATGCACTTGACAGGTTTAATATATATTTGCTTGGCGTTAGCCGTTTATGATCTCTATATTGTGCGCAGCGACGCCGTATCACATTTGCTACAGAGAATGACGAGATGATTATCCTCTTTTGCCAAATGTAAGGTATCAGTTGGGTCGGCTTAATGTGGTGGCGATTGCGCTTTCATGTCGCCTCAACTATGAAATGTCGTTTGTCGCAATAACGACTTTGCTGATTAATGGGACAATACGTACTGTGTACGGGTCAGGCATAATAGTAGTTGCACTGCTTGAAACTTTCAGGAGCAAGAAAGTCTCTAACCCGATTATTGCTTCATCTGCTTTCATTGAAATGATCCGGCTTGATACACCACGTGTGATCATCGTGCATAATAAAAGTCTCGAATGTATGTCCTTAGTGAGAAGCATCTTACCCTTTGAGAGATTGTAACGGGGTTACACATACCGTAACAGGGGTGTGTGTCACACGAGATGGGCATGGTGTGACTGCGCTCAAACGGTATGTGGCTAGGTAGCCAGTAGTCATGCGTGTATTTAGATTTTACTATATATTTTTTGGAAAGTCTAAACGTTTAAAATTAGGCGGCTTTACCGCAGACAAAAATAAATAAATTTCAGATTTGAATTATAAACCGTAGAGTAACTAGCCTTGTGTTAAGGCAATAATTACTCTTGGAGTAAGCGGATTGCGATCTGCTAGCTCGTACTTGTTGAAAGTATAGAACGAAAAGTCGGTGATCTAAATTACGCTTCCTCTAAGCGCAACGCTACGGCAGCCCCACTGCAGAGATCGTCTTTAACCACGTCGACTCAGTAAATGCATAGTCTGAACGACTCAGAAACTCCAAGTGGTTAACCTTGATGTGCGCACATGCCAAACGCGCCAGCCGATAAATTTCTTGCCGAGTGAGTCTGACACATACTATGCTGTCCATTGACTATTTGGCAGGCTTATCCTTTCGTAATCTGAGAACGCAGCCATGGCGCCAGCGAGGTAATGCTTTAATACATAAAAGGAAACGTCTATTACTTTTGTTTCGTAGTTGCTGAGTCCAGACCACACACAATTATTTCACTAGTTGCATGCTGGCACTCAAGACAAAACGCGCTAAAATTGTCGCTTGGGGTCGTAGCCAATGATGGCTCCGCCGACTGATTTTTCTTTAATTATTTAAAGAATAAACAGCGATTACTTATTGATGCCATTCTAACCCCCTCTTACAACAACTGGCCATCAAATAACGCTTTGATGCATTCCCGCGCCCACATTAATGTACCGGCCAACCGTGTTGTAACCCACAGACCACATCAGCAAAAAGAAACAACAAGTTTCTGATTTGGGTCATTGCGTCCGTGGAGTGGAATTTTAATGAAAGCCAATAAGTGGTGGTTTCAAAGATTCAGACTAGAACATTTAAACGTCAGCGCGTTGTAATGTTATGCTACACCACGAGATAAATGTGCTTTTTTATACAGAATTTTAAGTCGATCGTAGGCTCTATACATGCAAGTCGTCAGTGTTCTTAAAGATGGACAAATTTAGATCGGAACATGCAATAATTTTGGTAGTGATCTCTCATTTAATAATCGATCACTTCATTGCCAAAAAAGGGGTGGACACTTAGCAATACGTGCTGTGCCTCGTTCTTATCTGTCACTTGTACTTCGCCCATTCCAGTCTGTAGATCGATTTCTAAATTCTGCATTACTGTACCGGATAAATAGTCGTTTTCTCCTGGTACCCTTTTCTGTCATGCGTTGCTCAAGAACATGACAGCTCAAATTATTCGATGATGCTGCCAGTGTTCTCCCTAAAATCCATCTGCTTCCCTGCACCCAATTCACAGAATACAGCTGTTAAGTCGCACCTATCCAGCTGCAGATAAACTACAAATATGTTTGACATTCGACAATTTCAGCTCATAAGTAGTACGCAATTTCATTGGCGTCATCCATGCTAATAACAGTCAAGGTTGCAATACTAGTGACGGCCTGTGTAGCGGCGTGCTTCTGTGGCTGTACTGGCATAACATTCGATAAGACGGATCTGTCGGGGGATGGAAACGCCCAAGTTGTCGCTCCAGATCCTACCACGAGTAAAACACCGTGCCCCGCACTGCCACAGCCCTTCGGAGCATTGGATGAGGATTCAACTCTGACGGATGCACCTGTAGTAAAATTACCGTGTCCCGCACTTCCTCAACCGTCCCTCTTTGGTAGCCTTTCCAGTGATTCGAGTGACAGTAGTGGCAGCACTTTCGGTAAAGCCCCCTGCCCGTCTTTACAGACTGCTTCGACATCGTCGGATGGCTCGGTGTCGGCTCCGTGCCCTAAATTGATTATGAAAGTTCCGTGTCCATCGCTTCCAATTGCCTCAGGATCATCGTCAGAAGACCAGTCATCAGAATTCCAGACCAGTGGATGTAGCAATCTTGTGCACATTACGGGAGCAGGATGGACTGTGGTCACGGTCTCAGCTTTGGCTTTATCTATGTTTTAAAGTGCGGTCGAAGATATGTGTTGATTTTGGTTATTTTTGGTTAATGTGCGTGAAAGTCTGAGATAAAAAACTTATAAATTGTACTCAGCCATTGAAGATTTGTTTGATTTATAAAGTGTTCTTTGAAACGATGAACAATCCGTTACAATTTTGTTTATTTAGACTTCGGTGGCAAAGTGCCACCACAGCTTTTTTGACACATCACAGCAAATTTATGATTTTACCAGCTTGATCACCCGAGACAGCTCAGGAGAACATCATACGTGCGATCAGATACTTTTTTCTTTCCCTGTCGATCATTTGTTGAAGCTCAATTTGGTTTCGTGAGAGGCTCCAAGTTTTTTCTTGAGTTGGAAAAAAATGACTCCCACTTTTTATTTGTAAGAAATGAAAAACTCAATGTTGACCCTAAAGCCCATGCTAACCCTGACGATGCGAAGGTAACCGAGTTCTTTAGTACGGAAAAAGGACAATATATCGCTATCGACCTGTAAAAAGCGATTTCAAAAAGCGAAAAATGACGTGAAGTAGGCGTTCTAATTCGCCTCGCTAGAGACTGAAAGATTGATATAATACAAGCTATTTCATCAAAGCTAAGGCTGTTTCTTGCTCATTGCGTAAAATAAGACGTAATATTCTCTCAATATTCTTTCAGTATAGCGGCCAATTTATCATAGCGATTGCAAGAACAGATAAAATTAATGCTGAAGTGCAGCCCTCTGTCATAATGACAAGAGACGACATTGTTGATTTTTACAAATGGCTTGGGTCATTTTCTTTCAATACCAGCCTGCTTCATTGTATTAAAGCAATAACATCTTCTAACACCAATGTATATACATGAACGACACATAAGCTTCGATCGATTGGCAATCGCTCTCACAAGAGCATGTAGATGACAGACAGAAAGCATGCTGCCAACGCGGGAACAATCCGACCGGGTGCGGTGGAGCTCATCTGCTTTACCTTACCGGAGTATTTTTGCTCGTGCTCATTAGATTGATCCACACTACCTGCCTCAGAATCGGGTGTTGGCTGAGGCAATGACGGACATGGAACTTTGGCACTTTTATCGACAGGTTGCGGTAGCGTAGGACACGGAGCCTTTGGTAGCGAAGGGCATGGGGTTTTTCCATTTGTAGTGACATTAGAAGAATCTTGATCGATGAGAGAGGAAGACGAAGACCCTGCAGTCGGCAATGAAGGGCATGGAGCTTTGGCGCCACTTGTTGAGACCTCGTGGCCTGATGAGGAGCTTGGTGTCGAATTCATGTCGCCTGCATTAGGAATTTCCTCTAGCATGTAGTCACTTAATGGTGCTGAGGGTGCGGAAGGATCCACCAGCTGATCCTCTGTCGGCGGCAAACCTGCTATTGGCAATGAAGGACATGGAGTTTTGATGCCTTCCTTTAAAGTCTCGTCACTAGAAGGGGAACTAGGAGCAGGTGTCACGTCTTCTTGAAAGCTGGACCCCGGAGACTCCAGTGGTGTAGGCTCGGCGACATCAATGGAC